GCCAGGCATTGGTGCTGCTGCTGTTTCTTTCTTTCGCTGCGCGGTGCTGCAGCCGCACGTGGCACTTCCGCTTCCCCCGCAGCAGCAGCAGCAGCAGCAGCAGGTGGAGGAAGAGCAGCAAGATGATTTGATCGATTTGGTCGACGACGAGAGCATAGAGCAGCAGCAGCAGCAGCAGCAGCAGCAGAGCGAGCCCAGGGACAGCGCCCCGAGACATGTGGGGCCTTTTGTCTGGAGCCTCAGAGTGGCAGCAAGAAGGGTGCGTCATCCTTTGCTGCTGCTGCTGCTGCTGCTGCTGCTTGCAAAAGCTGCTGCTGCTGCCAGAGGGCCCCGCAAGTGTGTTTGCTGCTGCTAATTTGCTGCAGGAGCTGCTGCTGCAGCAGCCGCGCTGCTTCCGCAGCAGCACAGTGGCTCTGCCCCAGGAGGGCTGGAGGTTAGTCTGCCAGCTAGCTAGCTGACAAAGCAGCTAGCTAGCTATCTAGCTAGCTGGCTAGCTAGCTGGGTAGCTTGCTAGCTAGCTAGCCAGCTAGCTAGCTAGCTAAGTAGCTAGCTAGCTAGCTAGCTGCATGGGCAGGTGGTCAGATAACCAGATGGCTAGGCAGCTCGCCGTCTAGGTAGCAGCTAGCTAGCCAGCAGCCAGCTAGCTACCTAGCTAGAGAGCACTAGCAGCTAGCTAGCTAGCTAGCTAGCCAGCTAGCTAGCTAGCTAGCTAGCCAGCTCGGTGTGTTTGTGTGCTGCAGATGCCTCTCTGCAATTTGCCGAGGATGGAAAGTTCGAGAAGCAACACAGAGCGAGTAGAGGCCAATGAGGCCCAACCAGCAGCAGCAGCAGCAGCAGCAGCAGCAGCAGCTGCTGCTTGCTGCTGCAGCAGCAGCAGCAGCAAAAGCGGCGCCGAAAGCTGCTGCTGCGCCCCGAAAGCCCCTTGTTTTGCTGCTGGCCTTTGGCTGTGGACTTCGCCTGCAGACGCAACCAGAGTAGCTTTAGTCAATTTTTTAGCTAGCTCGTTGCCTAGCTAGCTGGCTAGCTAGCTGGCTAGCTAGCTAGCTGGCTAGCTAGCTGGCTAGCTAGCTAGCTAGGAAGCTAGCCGGATAGGCACCTAGCTACCTAGACAGCTAGCCAGCGAGGTCGCTAGCTACCTAAGCGGCTAGCTAGCTATCAAGACAACTAGCTAGCTAGGTGGCTAGCCAGCTAGTTAGCTAGGTAGCTAGCTAGCTAGCCGGCTAGCTAGCTATCTGGCTGGCTGGCTAGCTGGCTAGCTAAATAACTAGCTAGGCAGCTGCCTGCGGGGCCCTCGCTGCCCCCGGGAGGAGGCAGCAAAGGGGGGAGGACGTCCCTGGCTGAGTTGCTGCTGCTGCTGCTGTGCCTGCTGCAGCAGCAGCTTTGACAGCGGCAACTTCTTGGAGCGGCTGCGGAGCTTGGGCTGCTGCTGCTGCGGCGGCAGCAGCAGCTTCTACTTGCGAATAAGCAGCAGAACAACAGCAACTTCAACATGTGCGCAGTCCCGAGCATTTCAGCTTGCTGCTGCAGCAAATTTGCTGCTGCAGATGTGCTGATGCGCGCCTGCTCTAGGAGGTCTGCTGCTGTAACTCTCGTGCTGCAGCAGGTCAACTGCTGCGGCTCTCGTGCTGCAGCACAATAACTGCTGCAGCTCTCATGCTGCAGCAGATCGGCTGCTGTAGTTCTCATGCTGCAGCAGATCAGCTGCTGCAGTTACCGTGCTGCAGCAGATCAGCTGCTGCAGATGTGCATCCGCACTTCTGCTGCTGCAGATCTGCTGCAGTTGGCGTTCTCTGCTTGCCATATAAAACTTCGCAATTCAACTTAAATACTTTTTAGAATCTTTTTGAGAAAAAATAATTTCTTATTCATGGAATCCTCCGGGGGCCCCCACAGGGGTGTCGGCTGCTGGGTGGGGCCCTCGCCGGGTCTTGTGGTCGGCGCTGCTTGCCTGGGGCCTCTGTCTTTGAATTCTTTCTTTATTTTTAATTTTAAAATGATAACAAAATTGAAATATTAAATTCAAAAGTATTTAACAGACAAACGGGCACTGGAGAGCACTGAGGAGTTCTTTGCTTCGATGCTGAGGGCCCCGGGGCCCCCTAGCTCATAGCCATGCAGCAGCAGCAGCAGCGGCTGCTGCTGCTGCAGCATTTCCCGCGTCTGCTGCAGCATCTTTTGCTGCTGCTGTTGCTGACAAGGGCAACAGGTAGTTACGGGGTTCAACTGTGCATTAGGGGCCCCCGAGGGGTCTCAGGGGGGACCCCGCTGGGGCCCCCTCTGCCTCTCCTCAGAAGCAACGGGGGCCCCCCCTATGGGAGCCCCCCCCATGGGGGCCCCCCCACAGGTTCTCGGCTTAGCTGCTTCTGCTTCCTAGATAAGCTGAAGGCAGCAGCGAGGGCTGCCAAGGTAAGTGCTGCTGTTGCTGCTGCTGT